CTGGATGAGATTGATGTGGAGGAATATGCCAGGCAAAACGACCCCTTTCATGTACTAGAAGCAGCGATCAGTACAGATGACGAAATCCACGCTATGGCCATAGCGGAACATCCGAAAGTAATTGATGGCTTTCAAGCTCGAGATCATTTTCGCTATAAAGGCTTCTGTGGTTCCTTTCTGAGCCACACGGTTTCAACTTGCACAGAGGCAGCAATTCGGCACAACATGTCTGAGCTGCTTGTGCTAATGAATGGTTTAAACCACGAGAAAGTCTGCAAAGCGGCGTGGCACTTTACTCACAGACTAGTGATCAGGTCAGATGACAGGGAGCCTATAAAGCCGGTGATCCTTGGGATTGCGGATACCTTCCTGTCGGATTGGCGATGGTCTCAATCCAAAATTTACTTACTTGTTCGTCAACATGGGTCAAAGCCTGAGATGGCAAGCCCAAAGCTGCAGTCGCATCTTTTGGTTCGCCTTCCTGATGGACCGTTCCGATGTGTCATCGAGTTCCTCACACCAAGAAGCTTCCAGGATGCGGCGAGGGACTGTGGACTTCTTTCTTCGTGTGCTTGTATTGATAGTGTGTTTGGCAACTGCCCCTGGCATATGTACTCACCAAAAGCCAACGACTACAATGTTTAAGCATTGGGTGAGGATTTTCTGTCAATGTTCATACGCTAGGTTTACAGTAAGTAGGGAAGGGCCTAATTAACCCCCCTGTTACCAACGTCATAAGTTATGACATAGTCCAAATTGTACGTCGTAACTTACGACATAGTGTTTTCTTCATATTGGAGTTGGCTCGGAAACGGCGACCTGATACTGAAATCAAATCAAATTTGGGGCCGATGGGATATAAGGCTGGAGAGGTTTTTGCTGCACACACAAAGACAGTACGAGGAAAAGGGTTCAAGTGGACCTTTCCAACTGTCATCATTTGATGAGTGGCCAGAAGTCTTCGGGTACTCTCAGCCATTCAAGATTTTGCCGGCTGAGACGTAAGCACAATGCCGGTCTCTGTGAGCGCAAGGACCAAAGCTGAGGCTCAAGCGTCGGTGTCAGCGCCCGCCCTGGATCCGCGCCTGGTAGACTTCGGCCACCTGTGGCGCCAGCTCAAGGCCGCGGGGTGGCGGTCGAAGCCTCCCACCGGACTGTCAAACGATTGGGCGTACGTCAGGCCGTCCAGCGAGGTTCCTGCAGAAGGCGAGATTGTGTTCTACGGTATGTTGTGCTATTGCAGTATTACTATGCGTCATTTCTAACTTGGTTTGTGGTAGGTGAGAGAGCGGTGGTGGAGCACGCGATCACAACCGGACTGATTCAGGATGAAGAGGACAACAGCAGTGGCGAGGAGAGTGGAGATAACGGTGAGGGCAAGAGCGGTGGGGGCGGTGAAGCTGAGAGCGGTGGCGGCGGTGAAGCTGGGAGCGGTGGGGGCGACAGCGGTGATGGAGATATGGTGCGAGCGTCGCAGATTGATTGCAATGTGGCCCTCTCGGCCAACACAGTCGACGCGCTGTTCGGAAGTGACAGCGAGGACGATGGCACACCTGCGTTGTCGCAGAACGCGGTTGGGAGAGCTTTTGGGCTATCCCCGCTACGTGCTGACGCGGTGCATGACTCAGACCAGAGTGTCGTGATCGGAGCTTTCCAGCGGCTGCTCTCGGAGACGGAGCCCGACCTAGACTCTGAGGACGACACGGTGGAGGAGCCGAGAGACGCCAGCGAGGCTGACGACGCTGGAGGACCAGTTGTACCACGCGATCCAGCTGATGTAAACTTGATGAAGGCTGGAGATCTTAGAGAGGAGTACGAGAGTCTGAGTTCAGGCTCCGACTACGGCCAGTTTTCTGACGACGACGACGTGGAGCCTGTCCGTCCTGATCCAGACGAGGACGAGGTATCGGACGACGAGGAGTCGCCCTACATGGATGCCGCTTTCATTGAGGCCCTGGGTGGCACCTTGTCCATCGAGCAGATGGACCAGGAAGCGCTGCGAAACTTTGCCTGGAGCGCGCCTTCGACAGTTTTTGCGGACGATGTGTCCTGCTTTCGCGGATTGGTGCAGGAGACCGCCCATCCAACACCAGAACTTTGCTCGAAGAAAGAATCACCTCTTGAATTGATGTTTTATTTCCTACCGAAGCGCCTGTGGATGCGGATCTCCAAAGAGACGAACCGGATGAAAAGGCAGACGGTGGACCATCGAGCGCGTTATGAACGATCGCGGACGTCCAGAACGGAGAACATGCGTACACTTCGTGAACTTCGACGCCGTATTCGTCGGGCGAACGACTACTCACCGCGCGAGATCTTGTGCGTTATTGGGCTTCTCGTGGCTCATATGTTGAGCCCCACCCGACGCTTTTCGCAGCACTGGGCAATGACCGACGATGGTGCTTTTAGGTGCAGGGTGCGGTTCGGCGAGTACATGGAGCCGGAGACCGCTGCCACGTCGAACCTTGCGCCGATTCTACAACTTCGCCGAACCATTGATCGCCCGAACCGTTCAAGAACAAGCTTGTGGAGAATCCCGAGACGTAGGATAGATGTACTTGCAGGGAGACGGAATCCTAAAGCGCGATGAAAACACCCCGGAAAGTCCATCCTCGTTTTGGACAAAGGTGTCTTG